TCAGTCGTGCCCAACACTCTGTGACTCCATTTGGGGTTTTCTTGCCAAAGATACTGGAGCACTTTGCCATTTCCTTCTCCAGCTCATTTTACAGATGAGGGAACTGAGGCAAACAGGGTGAAGTGACTTGCCCAGGGTCACCCAGCTAGTGAATGTCTGAGGCCAGATTTGAACACAGGAAGATGAGTCTTCCTGACCCTGGTCCCTGCACTCCATCCACTGTACCACCTGGCTGCCCCCAAATAGGAATGGGAGCCACATGTCTGTACTTAAGGATCACTGCAGGCCACATACTGATTTAGTTTAAAATGAAATGTTATCTACTTTATTGTATTTTCATGTCTTTGTTAAACATCTCCCAAAGACACTTTAACCTGCTTCCAAAGCATTGCAGCACACTGCAGCCAGGCAGCAGGCTGGGTATCTGAGCCCTCTGGTCAAACCTACTGCTGCATGGAATCTACACTCTAACAAAGCCCACAAGGGTTGGTCACTCAGTCCCTCCAAGGTCAGGCCGCCTGGAGCAGCCCCTCTTGCTTATGGACACCAGTGATGGTTAAGAGGGGGAATTTGGAAAGCTGGACTCTGAGGGTCACAGAGTTTGGAGATCAGGGTCAGAAAAGCAGCTCCAGTTCTATGAGAGATGTTTCATATTTCAGTGAACTAATTATTATTCATCAGGGATATAATAGCAGTATTTTTGTGCTGCTCCTTGTAAGCCACGTGGGGATAGGAAGTCTCCTGAGAAAAGACGAGTGCTCCAGGTATAATCCTCCACAACTGATTGATCAAGGCAAGGGGAAGCTTCTGGGCTCAGAGAGGAAGACAGTTCCACTCCCTTGCTTTTTTCCTACTTCAACCCCAGGGTCCCCAAATACTTTCTGGCCATGAGATAAGACACTTTACAGCCCAGGGGAGATTGTCCACCCACTTATTATCACAAAATACCCAGCCTTCTTGGGAGAAAAAGAGGCTCAGAGAGGGGCCTCCAACCTTCTGGGACAAAAACTATGTCCCAGCTACTCAGTGTGGTATGAGCAGCCAAAGTCCAACATAATCCAGGATCTGACACGATGTATTTGTAGTGAATGTTTTCTCTTAATTATCACGTATCAGCTAGGAGACAGCAGGACCTAGGTCTCTGCTGCTTCTAACCACTTTGTGACTGTCTTCCTTAGATCAATGAATAATGGTAATGGAAACCTCCACACTAGGGATTTTAGAACAAGTGAGCAAAGCCTGGATGGCCTCGGATGAGGAAAAACAATTGTCCAATACTAAGCTGAGATGGTGATTGTAAGAGGGGAGAGAAATAGATATAATTAAAACATTTGTCTTTTTTGGAAAGAAATGCTAGGGCATAATGAAAGAGGGAAAGGTAGATGTTCCCAGCAGCTTGGATCATTCCAAAGGGGAAAGGAGAGTGGGGGAGGAGGGAAGTTAGAGGTGGAGAAAGATCAACTGACTCTCACTACTTACAGGGTCAGGCCTCCAGGGAGACAGAGAAGGGGCAGGGGCTTCTTTCTATTTAGAAACTAGATATTCCTTACTTCATTAACTCCAAAGGGAAAACTTTCCCTTCCTCAGAGGGGAAGAAAAGCCCCATCTGGGACACTCTAAAAAGGGGACAAGGTGGTCACTCAGTGCAGTGGCCATCACCAACAGAGATGGAGCCCCAGGGTCCTGGAAGGGCCCTGAGCAGAGGCCACAGAAGCCCTCAGGGAGGCCCCTGCCATGAAAGAAAAGCAGGGACACAGACACAAGAGGGGAGGAAAATGGCAGCAAAATAGAGAGAACTGGAACTCCCTGAAGGTCCATGCTGAGGGGCAGCCTACGGGCCAACACTATATTTAGGCATCGTTCCAGTTCAGGCGGAGAAGCCCTGGAACAAGTCCCAATACACCACGTCCACAAGTGCGCCCCAGCAGTACAAAGCAAAGGCAGAGGTCTGCACCCTCACCAGGTACCACACACCGGCCCTCCCTCGGGCTCCTTCCCCTCTTGGGCCCAGCCCCCACCTGCACTCAACAGACTGGGCAGAGCAAATAAAAGGATTCTCAGACATCTTCAAACTTTCTTTTTTTTCCCCTTCATGTGGCCAGAACATCTCCATGTTGTCATCCTGTCCCCTAAAATCCCCCACCCAAATGTGAAGCTCAGCTGAGATTGTGGAGAAAAGCTGAAGTTTCAAGAATAATAATTAGGCTGTTTGTGCAGTCAGAAAAAGATCCCAGAGGTCAGTGCAATATCCAGTGTGAAAGAGGGCTCATTGCCAAAGCCCTCTGGCCCTCACTGCTGGTTGTCTCTGCAGAGTGAGACAGGCAGAAAGAAAGAAGGCAGGGGAGGGAGGCCTTAGAGAACAGGGTGAGGGCCTAATGATGCTGCCCTGGGCTTGGCCCAGTAGAGTCCAGGGAAGATCCCAGAGGCCAATGCTGGGGAGAGAAGCCAGGGGTCCACAGGAAGAACACAGGGACTGAAGACTGGTTTTCTTCCTCAGGCACATACTCCGCAATTCTCTCAAGCTGAAGAAGGAAAGACAGATTCAGGGAGACCCTCCAAGTCCCCTCTGGCCTCCAGCCTCTCTTCCTTCTGAAGGGCCTGTCTTACCACACATCCAACCCTCAGCCCAACCTCTCACCCACCCTCCTCTTTGTTTGGCCCCCTTTACCTCAGTCCCTTTCTCCTTCCAGGCCCCAGAGTCTCACCTTTGGCTGTGAGGGTGACATCTGACCCCTGTGCACTGTCATGGCCTGGAGAGAAAGGAGGGAAACAACCCAGTCAGGGACACATATTGCAGAACCAGGGGTGGGAAGGGAAGGGGACACCAATGGAAGGCTACTGGGCTAAGCCTCTCCTCTGCCTTCCCATTGCTCAGGTTCCTGAGATACCAAGGGCTGGGCCCTTCCTTCTACATCAACACTTCACTTACCTGCAGCTGGAACATAGTCCCCTCCTTTTCCACCGAGAAAAGAAAAAAAAATTCCAAGGGAGGAATCCAGGAGAGGAGACCACACTAAGGTCTCAGATGTTCACTGATTTGTCTTGGAGACACAACAAATTACAACTGGGACTGCACCCCCATCCCCTACTCCACTCCAGCCTCTGGATCCAAGAGGAAGAGAGAAAAGAGGCTCCCCCCCCCAAATGGGCACTTTCACATTTCCAGGCCTGCCTCTAGGGGTCCCAAGGCTGGTCTACAGCCCCCAGCTGGGGGACACCCAGGCCCTCTGGTAGAGATCCCCACCAGCATTTCTGATCTGAGTCTGAAGCAGATTCCTACTCAGCCAGCCTGTTATACCCCTGCCTGCCATCCTCCAGATAAATGCTTTCTATTTCTTTATTTAGAGTCTTAGGGCCCATCTAATAGTCCCTTAGATGGCAAAGAGAGGACTTGAGGACAGAAAGACAAGCTGTGGGTCAGGGGAAGCCAGGTTCTCCATGGCGCCTGCTCCCTAAGGACCCTTCCCAGTCCTGCCACCTGAAGTCTTCTTCCTCCAGATCACAACTCCAGCAATGACTGCAATGAGGAGGAGGAGGACAACAATGCCCCCTCAATGACCACAGTGGATGAGGACTCTGGCTCTGAAAGGGAAAAGTGAAGTGAGAGTCCCTGATCCCTCTGGGGCCTGAGATTCACTAAGCCCTCCCCGACCTCCCCCAGTCACTCCACCTCCCTCTGGTCTTTTGGGGGCCTGTGGGATGGCCTTTCCCAACCCCTCCTCACGGTCCTTACCCCACTTCAGGGTGAGGGGCTCAGGCAGTCCCTCATGCTGAACTCGGCAGGTATATTTCTCTTCTTGGCCGAGGTCACGTCCACACCTGCCCACTGCTAGAAGGTCCCATCCCCTGCAGGCCTGGTCTCAATGAACTCCATGTCCTGGAGCTGTTGCTCCCCATCCCTCAGCCAAGTCAGGGAGATGCCCGCAGGGTAGAAGTCCTGGGCCCGGCACCGCAAGGTGACCTCTCCGTGGGGGCCAGTATGGCGGGCCACTCGGGCGGAGGGCGGGTCTGGAGGCAAAAGTCGGCAGCATTTCCAAGCTCTCCCTTCCCCCCTCCCCTCCAGGGGCACAAGGACAGGTGGGGGTAGGGAGAACACCCCGCACTCCGGGCCCTGGTGTACAAGTGGTGACTGGGAGTCGGGAGCCGGAGGCTGGGGTTGCAGGGGAGGCGGAGAAGGGGAGGCGAGGGCCTTGAGTGTCGCGGACACTGGGGCCGGCCGAGGGTACCTGCACTCTTCAGAGTCTCCTTCCCCATCTCCAGGTACTTCTTCAGGCACAGCACGCACTGCTCCTCCAGGTAGGCTTTCTTTCTCTCAGTGTAGTCCCTGTCCGCCTCCCACTCCAGCTTGGTGTTCACAGCCTGGGGCACCGCCGCAGTCCACGTGTAGGTCTCCGTGTCCAGGGTGATGTAGTCTTGCCCGTCGTAGGCGTCTTGGTAAAACGCCCGCTTGAAGGTGAGCTCCGGGGACACCTCGCAGCCGTACATGACTTGGATGGTGTGGACCCCTGCCCAGCCCCCAGCCCCGGGTCAGCGCGGCAGGACTCTGGCTCATCCCGTGCCCCGCCCCCACGCGGGTCCTCCAGCCTCGGAAGGCCCCCCCCCATCCCTTGTGGGAGCCGCAGTGACCGTTGGGCGGTTCAGACACCCGCCCCCGACACACACTCCGCTCCCTCCACGTCACGCACCGCCTTCGCTCTGGTTGAAGTAGCCGCGCAGGGTCTGCAGGCTAGCTCGGTAAAACTCTGCTGTCTCCTTCATGATCCGCGTGTCCCGCTCCAGTACTCCGGGTCCTCCTGCTCTATCCACGCCATCCGCGGCTCGGTCCTCTGACTCTCGCTGGCGCTGTCGAAGGTCACGAAGTGCTGATCGTCCACGTAGCCCACGGAGAGGAACCGCGGCTCCGCGAGCTCGGGCGAGGCCATAGCGGTGTAGTAATAAACTGAGACCAGTTTACACTTGGTTTATAGAATGGCGAATCCCGAACTTGCGGTTGGCTTCACAGAGGCTCTGCCGGCCAATAGCAAGCGAAAGACAACTAACGTTGGTGACTGGGCAGAATGAGCACTCACAGGTTAGGAGACGAAAACTGAGACTGACTTAGAGGAAATCCCGTGTCATTCCCAGAACAGCCTCCGAATCTATGGAGCTCCCGAGTCTCCCTCCCTCCCACTATGACACGAGGAACATGAGGCTCTTGTGCTCCCAGCTTGAACCAGAGAAAAAGAAGGTCCCAGCCCTTAACTCTCCTCTGCTGGCCTTCCAACCCCCAGCCTGCCTCAGCGTGACCCTTTTCGGTCCTTGGAAGTGAGGAAGACAATATCCCAACCCAAAATTGAGGGTGTCTGAGGAGTGAAGAAATCTGCAGACTGATTGGTATAGGGGTGTGTTGCCACCTCCGTTTTAATGACCTCCATCCCAGCTGTGACTCAGGCAAGTCTTGTAACCTTCCCAGGCTGTGTGGATAAGCAGGCAAGGGATCCTAGAGTAATGACTGAATTAGAGTCCAATAAATGGAATTTGGAATCACAGTAGAAGACTTTGTCTCACCTTAAAAGGGCAGCTAGGTCCCCCAGTGGTTAGAGCTCAGGGCCTGGAGTCAGGAAGACCTGAGTGCCAATCCAGGCCTCAGACACATACTAGCTGTGTGACTCTGGACAAGTCACTTAACCATTTTTGCCTCAATTTCCCCATCTAAAAATGAGCTGGAGAAGGAAATGGCAAACTACTCCAATTTCTTGGACAAGAAATGAGGTCACAGAGTCAGATACAATTCCATAACAACAAAAGGAAACAGCTTAAGAAAATGGGGAGGGGTACTATTTCAGCCCAAGGCTGGCTCTGAAATATGAAGGTGTGAATCCCCAATAACCTTTTTTTTCCCCCAGAAACCAGGGACCTGGGCACATTTGGTGGGATTTTCCCTCTTTCTTGTCTCATTCCCCATCTAGGAAACTATTACACTCCAAATTTTAAAGAGAGCATAAAGTTACCTCTGGAAAGGATCTTAGAGATAATCTCCTTCATTTTACAGAGCAGGAAACTGAAGGCCAACGATGTTGACAGATTTTTCCAAGCTCATAAAGCTGGGAAGTAGCAAAATTGAGATTTGCACCTCCATTGTATCATTGCAAACTCAATGCTCTTTCCCCAAGCCCAGGCTGGTCTAGAGATCCTGATCTAAGTCCTGAATGAGCCCCCTCTGGTGAAAGACACCTGAACCCTTTAAAGCATGTTGGAGTCAGCACTGTGTGGAAAGGCAAGGAAAGAAGTGAATAATTCTGTTTATCATTTTCTGCTACCAGACCCTTCAGACCAAGTCCTCGCCTATCATTCTTCTTTTGATCTCAATGCAGCTTAAAAAAATTTCTCCTCAAAGCCCCAACCCTTATCAACCATCAGCTTCCATGCCTGCAAGGGGAAAGGCCATTTTCTCTCCTCAGTCATTCAAATAGGAGAGGGAGAGAGAAGGAGAAAATACCTAGGACCCAAAGTATATATTTTCCTCTTGTTTGATATGAGTTTTAATAGAGTGTTAAGTCTTTAAGTTTTGGGGCACAAGGAGGGGCGTGGAATGCAGTGACCTTAGCTGTGTAACTGCAGGCATGCTGTCAGCCATTCTAGGCATTGTAGGCCCTGGGCCCTAGAGATGGTGCTGCCCAAAAGAAAGCACTAGGAAGCAGAGTCCAGCAAGTGCTGAGAGAGAGAGGGAAGGGGAGAGGTAGAGACGGAGAGAGGGAAGAGAGAGAGAAGGACAGAGACTCAGAGAGACAGAGGTGTAGAAGGGAGGAAGGGAGGGAGAAACAGAGACAGGTGGGGGAGAGATGAACACAGGCAGAGAGAGAGATAAAAAGAGACAAGTAGAGGGAGGGACAGAGACAGATGAGAGAGATAGGGAGATAGGGAGAGAGATAAGGGGGGGGAGAGGGAGAGCCAAAGCCTTCTGACATGGAGGGAAACAGCTGGAAAACAGCTGCCTAAAGAAGGAAGCCTGGGCTAGTCATTGATTTGGCTCTAAGGAAAAGCACGGCAGGGATGGAGTGAAAAGCCAACCTAAAAGAGGCATCTGAGATGAGAGAACATGCTCTGTCAACCTCCAGTAGTTCAACATTGGCAGGAAAGGCTGCTCTCTGGCGCCACTTACAGGGTTTAGGGGAGGAAAGGACCAGGCTAATGTGTTAAGAGTTCTAGACTGTCCAGGAAAAAAAATGAGAAATGTTGAGGGGCTGCAGGGAGACAGGCCTGTTGGTGCCCTTTGGGTGAGGCTGTGAATTGGCCCAGTCATCATGGGAAGCAGTTTGGGACTGTGCCTCCAAAGTGATTCTATTGTGCATGATGTCCTTTTACCCAGCAGGACCATATCTAGGTCTGTACCCCAAAAGGATCAAAGAAAGAGGAAAAGATTTAACAGATATATAGATTTCTCTCTCTCTCTCTCTCTCTCTCTCTCTCTCTTCTCTCTCTCTCTCTCTCTCTCTCTCTCTCCTTCTCTCTCTCTCTCTCTCTCTCTCTCTCTCTCTCTCTCTCTCTCTCTCTTTCTCTCTTTCTCCGTCTCCATATATATACATACATATACACACACACACACACACACACACACACACACACATATATATTTTAATTATAACATCTTTTTTTTGTAATGGCAAAGAACTGGAAATTGAAGCAGTATGCACCCATTTCATACTGGCTAAATATATTTTTTGTGAATGGTCATGAAAGAGATGGTTTCAGAGAAACCAGGGACACCTTGTATGAATCGATGCAGAGTGAAATAAGCAGAACCAAGAGAATAATTTGTACCAAAATAGCATTGTAAAAATAAACACTTTTGAAGACCTTAAAAATTGTGATAAACACAATGACCAACTCTGATTCCAGAGGACCAATGATGGAGAATGCCACCCACCTCAAATGACTGATTAAATCTTCAGAATGAGACACATCTTTGGACATCTCCAATATGGGAAATTGTTTTTGCTTGACTTGTGTCTGTTTATTATAAGGGCTTTGTTTTGCTTTGGTTTTTTTCTACAGTGGAGAGGGTTGAGTGAAGGGAGGTGGGAGGAAGAAAAAATAAATTCTTGATAACTGAAATAAGTTGCATTGCAAAATTTAATTAAAAAGATAATGGAAATATAATTTTATTTTTAAAAGACTAAATCTATCACTAATTAAGAAAGAGGTCACAAGGACTGGTGCACCATGGTCTTGTGAGGTACAAGAATCCCAGAATGTATAAAAGAGAGACTCTGGGAGGCTTTATGTGGCTAACTAGGCTATGTTATTGCCAGAGCTTTTCGAAAAAAAGAGATACATAGAGCTCAAGAGCACTGAAGACCTCCATCTTGAGAGAGAGAAACACATGATGTCTTCCTAAGTCCTGCAACCAAGGACAACAGGCAAGATAGGAAGGATGGCTACACTGCTTGGGCATCTCTACCCCTGGGCTCCATCATGGACCACTGGGAGTGTTTCACTCACTCCTGTGCATACTTGGGCCAAATGCTACCTGGTGGCATTTTGCTTTAGCTAGAAAGATCTCCAGTCTTCACCAGTGGAAAGGACTGAGACAACATTATCCCATAGAAACAATTCAAACTTGCAAACAGCTTACTTTGATGGGGAGGCAAGTGGGGTTAACTGTTTGACTTGCTAAGTAACAACTAGTTGACAACTTGACTGAAACAGACAGCATCTTGACAACTAGTAAGTGTCAAGTGTCTGAGGCTGCATTTGAATTCAGGTCCTCCTGACTCTAGGGCTGGTGCTCTATCTACTTTGCCACCTAGCTGCCCTGAACAGGTTACTTGTAAGTAAACTTAAAGGACCCACACTAAATCTTAGGTGCCTTGCTCCTTGATCTCTCCTCATAATCTGTCACTTTGCCTCTTGTTTCTTTGGATTTTTAGCTATTTCACCAGGCTATTGGTGTGTTTTCTTCATTCCTCCTGCTAGCATGCCCTCCAGAAAAATCAGGGTACTTGTCACCAATCACAATCTGTTTATGTTTTCAACTCATTTTTCTGCATTAGTTTCTAAATGACTTTCTTTCCTCATTTCCAGAGATTTCCCAGCTGTTCCTAGGACTCAATTACTACCTTATTCAAAGAATCCATCACAGGGGCAGCTAGGTGATGCAGTGGATAGAGCTCCAGCATTGGAGTCAGTAGGACCTGAGTTGAAATGCAGCCTCAGAGACTTGACACTTACTAGCTGTGTGACCCTGGGCAAGTCACTTAACTCCAATTGCCTCACTGAAAGGAAAAAACCAAAAACAAAACAAAACAAAACAAAACAAAAACAAAGAATCCATCATAGAACCAGAGTTAGAAGTCACCTGAATAGTCACCTGAATTTTGTCCAACCTGACCCCCATGTAGCCTTTTAATAATTCAATTTTTAAAAATTTATTTATGTTTAGTTTCCAACATTCAATTCCACAAGATTTTGAGTTCCAAATTTTCTCCCCATCTCTCCCCTCTGCCCACCCCAAGATGGCATGCATTCTGAATACCCCTTCCCCTAATCTGCCCTCTCTTCTATCTCCCCCCCTTCTCTTATTCCCTTACCCTTCTATTTTCCTGTAGGGCAGGATAGATTTCTACACCCCATTGCTTTTATATCATTTCACAGTTGCATGGGAAAACAATTTTTAACATTTGTTTTTAAAATTTTGAGTTTCAAATTCTCTCTCTTCCTCCCTCCCCACTCACCCTCAGTGAGAAGGCAAGCAATTCAATGTACGTTATACAAGTGTAGTGTACAAAACACTTCCATAATAGTCATGTTGTGAAAGACTAAGGATATTTCCCTAAGTCCTATCCTGCCCCTGTTTATTCTGTTCTTTCCTTTGACCCTGTCCCTTCTCAAAAGTGTTTGCTTCTGATTACCTCCTCCCCCCCATCTGCCTTCCCTTCCATCATCCCCCCATCCCTCCCCCTATTTTCCAACTTGATAGGGTTAGATAGATTTCCACACCCAATTGAGAAATTCCAAGTACTGAGGAATAATATACCACTTGTTCATGTTATTTCCTCCTTAAGCCATATCTAATGAGAGTAAAATTCACTCATTCCCTCTCCTCTCCCCCCTCTTCCCCTCCACTGTAAAAGCTTCTTCTTGACCCTTTTATGTGACATGATTTACCCCATTCTACCTCTCCCTTTCTCCTTCTCGCAGCAAAATCCTCCTCACTTTCATTGATAATGCTTGGAAGTCCTCTATTTCATTGAATGTCAACTTTTCCCCTCAAGGATTGTACACAGTTTTTCTGGATAGATGATTCTTGGTTGTAATAGTGGCTCCTTTGACGTCCAGAATATCATATTCCAAGCCCTCCAATCTCTTAATATAGATGCAGCTAAATCTTGTGTTATCCTAACGTGTTTCCACTGTATTTGAATTGTTTCTTTCTGGTTGCTTGCAATATTTTCTCCTTGACATGGGAATTCTGGAATATGGCTGTAATATTGCTAGGAGTTTTCCCTTTGGTATTGCTTTCAGGAGGTGATCAGTGTATTCTTACTAGCTGTGTGACCCTGGGCAAATCACTTAACCCCAACTGCCTAAAAAAAAAAAAGGAATTATTTTCTTCAGTGAGCTTTTGAACCTCCTTTTCCATTAGGCCAATGCTTTTTAAGGCATGTGTCTCCTCATTGCCTTTTTGGATCTCTTTTGCCATTTGGGTTGCTCAATTTTTTTAAGGTAATTGGGGTTGTGACCTTCCCAGGGTCACACAGCTAGTAAGTGTCAAGTGTTTGGCCTGAGACTGGATTTGAACTCGTGGCTTCAGAGCCGGGGCTCTATTCACTGCACCATCTAGCTTCCCCTAGGGTTGCTCAATTTTTAAGGTGTTGTTTCCTTCAGTATTTTTCAGGGTCTCCTTTAGCAAGCTATTGGCTAATTTTTCATGGTTATCTTGCATCACTCTCATTTATTTTCCCAATTTTTCCTCTACTTCCCTTATTTGCTGCTTAAAATCCTTTTTGTGCTCTTCCATGGCCTGGAACCAATTCGTATTTTTCTTGGAGGCTTTGGATGTAGCAGCTTATTTTTTTTTAATAGGAGCTTTGATATTTTTGTCTTCTGGTTGTGTGTTTTGACCTTCTTTGTCACCAAAGTAAGATTCTCTAGTCTCAGTTTTTTCTGCTGTTTGCTCACGTTTCCAGCCAATTACTTGAATTTTTCACTCTTTCTTGAGACAAGGTCCTGCTTCCAATGTGAAGGGTGTACTTTCCCAAGAATCAGGGATTTTGTGCAGCTGTTTTCAGATATACCTCTAGGCACATGTAAATTTTCAGTTCTTCCAAGGTGATATAATTAGAGGTGAGATGATTACTCTTTTCCTGGCCTGTGCTCTCATCTATGAATGACCACAAGCCCTCTTTTCTGCCTTGGAACTGGTAGGAGGATATCTTCTTTACTGCTGCCACAAGTTCAGCTCCAAGACTGCCTCCCAGGACTGCAACCAAGATTCAAGGTGGGGCAAAGCAAGGGAAACTTGCTTCAGTGCCAGCAAAGAGATCCCTGCAATCTCCCTCTAATCAGCTGCTCAAATCCCATCACAATCTGTGGGCTGAGAGCTTTGGAAGCAGTCAAGGCCAGCCACCATCTCAGGGCTCAGTTTGGGCATTGCTGCTCTCTAACCCAGGTCTGACAGACCTCTGACCTTTCTTTCTTTCTTTCTTTCCTTTTTTCTTTCTTTCTTTTTTCTTTTTCTTTCTTTCTCTCCATATTTTTATTTTATTAATTTATTTTAAATTTTTAACATTCACTTCTATAACCTTTTGAGTTTTAAATTTTCTCCCCCTCCCTCCCCACCTCCTTCCCCAAGACAGCTTGCAATCTGATATAGGATCTACATATTCATTCCTATTAATCATATTTTCACATCAGTCATGTTGTAAAGAAGAATTAGAACCAATAAGAGGGAGCACAAGAAAGAACAGGACAAAGTAGAAAAAAAAAAAGCAAATAGTATCCTTTGATCTGTGTTCCAACTCCATAGTTCTTTCTCTGGATGTGCATAGCATTTTCTATCATGAGACTTTTGGAGATGTCATAGATTCTTGCATTGCTCAGAAACATTAAGTCTATCAATATTAGTCATCATACAACAAGGCTGTTTCTGTATACAATGTTGTCCTGGTTCTACTCACTTCACTCAGCATCAGTCCATACGAGTCTTTCCAGGTTTTTCTGAAGTCTGCCTGCTCATCATTTCTTATAGCACAATAGTATTCCATTACATTCATATACCACAACTTTTTCAGCCACTCCCCAATGGATGGGCATCCCCTCAATTTCCAATTGTTTGCCACCACAGAAAGAGCTGCTATAAATAATTTTTATACGTGTGGGTCCTTTTCCCATTTTTATGATCGTTTTGCAATACAGCCCTAGAAGTGGTATTGTTAGGTCAAAGGGTATGCACATTTTTACAGCCCTCTGGGTATAGTTCCAAACTATTCTCCAAAATGGTTGGATCACTACACAACTCCACCAACGATGCATTAATGTTCCAATTTTCCCACGTATTCTCCAACATTTATCATTTTCCTGTTTTGTGACAGACCCTTCTTACTGACCTTCTAAGATGTCTTTGGCATTTGTGGATTGAGAAGTCTGGAAACTGCCACAGCTACCAGTGATTCAGTCCCCTGAGGCCTGCTCCAGTTTCACTGGGGCCCCTTCTTTACCTGTGCAGCCCACACTGAACTTTGCTCCTGTCCCAGCCTGGCACAAGACCTTTCCCATAAACCATCCAGGTTGTCTTGGGCTGGACATTTTTTTCACTCTGTCTTTTTGTGGGTTCTCCTGCTCGACAATTTCTTTACAGTCATTTTTTTTTTGCTTTCTTTAGTGAGGCATTTGGGGTTAAGTGACTTGCCCAAGGTCACTCAGCTAGTAAGCATTATGTGTCTGAGGCTGGATTTAAACTAAGGTTCTCCTGACTCCAGGGCTGGAGCTCTATCTACTGTGTCACCTAGCTGCCCCATAGGTTTTTGGTATTTGGAGGAGTTTGGGGGAAGAGCTCAAGCAAGTCATTGCTTTTACTCCAACATGTTGGCTCTGTCCCCCTATTCTCTTCTTTTTTTTAATCTAGTTCTATTTCTCTCATAAATTCCTTCACTGATTTTAATTGTGTCTTAAGAAATATCTAGCTGTTTTGGTCACTGCCACTGCTTTTCCATTTCATTTTTTTCAATTGTTCTGGGAGCCTCACCTCTCTCTCCCCTTCCTCCTCCACTTCCTCCTCCTTCTCCCCTCCTCCTCCTCCTCCTGCCGGAACTCCTGCCAGCTTTGTCCTTCCTAGTAGCTGCTACTCTCGACATGGGCCAGCAAGCCTTACATCCCAGCTCCTTTGAATCCAGAGTGATGGTTTCCCATTGTGACAGACTCTTCTTTTGGTTCTCATTTTCTCTCAAGAATTTCTGACACTTTTGCTTCTTTTCTCATTTTTCTTGCAGTTTTGATGACCACTTGGTCGCATTGGATGGACTCTCTTGTGACTTCACATGGCACCATTTTCCTGGAAGCCTCCATAATTGAGCTCCTTCAAATAGAGGAAGATTCCCAAGGAATTCCAAAGTTCTGAGCATTTACCACCACCATGCCAAATAAATAAAGGCAATGAAGAACACAGAAGTCACTGTCAGCCCCCCATCAGGCTGTGGTCCCATCTTTGCAAAATCATTAAGAGAATATTCTCTGCATACCTACAGGACAGATTCTACTAAAACAGAGAAAGGGCAGGATGTAGCAAAATAGTTCCAAAGCACCTGTTTTGTTTCGCTGGGCATATTTATTTTATAAAGGTTTTTTCTTTTCCACTTGGGGTAAATAGAACATCTATACCTCTATATCATTAACACTTTTTAAAGAAGTGAACAGGAGGGGCAGATAGTCGGTGTAGTGGATAGAACGCTAGCCCTGAAGTCAAGAGGACCTGAGTTAAAATCCAGCCTCAGACCAAATACTTGACACTTACTAGCTGTGTGACTTAACCCCAATTGCCTAAAAAAAAAAAGTGAACACCAAATAGCATCATAAAGATGCTATGTAAAGACCAGCATATTTCTTGTTCTCCACTACCACATATAGTCCTCATTGGAGATTCACTGCATCGTCCTATCTCTGCAGATGCAGGTGTTGTTTCATTAATCAGCTGTCCTCTAGGCCATCATTCCTCCCTTTCCAAGGAGTTTGCTCACTCCAAGTCTTATCACTTTTGTCTTCTGGAACTGAAGTATACAAGCCTAATAAACAACCTCCATTACCTGTGCTGTTTCCATTTCCTTTCCTTTCACTCCCTTCCTAATCCCTTGAAATCTGAACCCAGACATTACACAATCAACTCCATTCTCTCTAAAGTTACTAATGACAATTCTTCAGCATGTGATGCTGGAGCCCACTCTCCTAGACAGTCTCTGTTCTGTATTTGGTGACACTGGTTCCTCTGGTTCTCCTGCCTACCTGAGCACTCCTCAGTCTCCTCTGTTGGATTAACAGCCTCAAAAAGCCCCCTGCCTGTGGGTATAGGCCAAGGCTTTATCAAGGGACCCCTCCTTTCTCTACACTTTCTCATCAGTTTAATTATGGATTCAATTATTGCCCTTTCACAGATGATTCCCAGGTCTAAATATTCCCCCCTAGTCTCCAATTCCAAATCACTAACTGACTAATGGACATTTCAAACCAGATATCCTGTAGGCATTTCAAACTCAACCTGTCCAAAACAGAATTCATTCTCTTTCACCCTTAGCACTCCTTCTTCCAAAATTCCCTGTTTCCTTGAGGACTACACCATCCTTCAAGCCACCCAGCTCAGCATCCTTGGGGTTTTCCTCCACTCCTCAATCTCCCTTACCCAACCAAGTCTGTTGTGAGTGCATGACATCTTTCTCATGTGTCCCCTTCTTTCCACTCACATGGCCATCACTCTGGTTCAGGTCCATAACATCTTCATCTTGGATTATTGTAATAGCTTTCTCCTTGGCCTCCATGACATGTCTCTCTAAATAGCACTCCCTTTAGCTTCTCAAGTGATATTTTCAAAACAACAAACTTTACCACATCATTCCACTGCTAAAGAAACTCCAATGGGTCTCTAGTACCTCTAGGACCAAATAAAAACTCCGGTCTTTCGAACTGATAACTCTTTACAACCTGGCTTCCACCTACTTTTCTAGGCTTATCATACATGACCCCTTCATGCATTTTTCCAGCCAGACAAAATGGCATCCTTACTGTTCTTCATACATAGCATTCCTCTCTGGCTGGTCTCCAAGCCTTTGCCCAAGCTGTCCAATCCCTGCTTGGAATGCACCTCTCCTCACCTCAGCCTCTTAGAATCCCTGGTTTCCTTCAAAGCTAGGAGTAAACACAACCTTCTTCTGCATGAGACTGTTCCTGACCTACCCAGCTGCTGCACAGATATCATAAATTGCAAGCATCACAGGGACTGCCACACAATGCTTTGTAGGCACATCTGGTGAGGTACCTCACAATCCTGACATGGGATTTCCTTTAAAAAAAAATAAATCATCTTGATTGGGAATTATTGTCAATAACTCCTCAAATGTATTTTTTTCAGTGTCAAGTGCATCATCTGCATTCTCAATCAGCAGTTTTTGAATTCTTCCGTGACCCAGTTTATTGAGGCCAAACAGTAATTAGAGCCTGGTGCAGATCCAGGGATTACTACAAAATGGGCTTTGAACTCTGATCTATTTGCATTCAGGTTTTTCAACTTGCTTTTGTTATTTTAATTTTTACCCTGCCTTTTGTTCCCTTTGAGGTTTCTGAAGACTGCAGAGGTGACATATCTTCATGCATTCATAAAAGAAACACTAAGTTATATCACAGTCTATTTACCCAAAAGAAAGACACCTGGTTCCTGTGTTTCATGTCCTTTAACACAAGTAACAACAGCGGTCTAGTGGCGATATTGTGGCCTCCCATTGCTCACTGCCTTTAGCTGCATTTCCAAGTTTGGGAGGGAGACCCATGATCAAGTGAGTCTCTCCACTACCCTGAACAAAATTACAAAGTGGGGGGAGCTTTGTCAGCAAGGAGCACCTCCCATGGTTGGGAGCCATGAGTTTTGCTCCATAGTCCCTGGAATTGGGCCGATGGCATCAGAGGTGATAAACATAGTGGGGAATGGACCCTTGGAGAGGAATCTCCTCCTTTGGTGCTCTAGAAGAGCAGTAGAAAGCATGTTTCTCCTTGACTGCCCGTTCCTTTGCGTCTGCAATGGACTTGGATGGGGGGTGAGGGGGTGATGGCAGCAGGAACGCGTGCTGCCTTTTTGGTGCCTTCCATGAGCACATGTCAGCAGCAACCGATCCTGAGCAATAGAAACCTCCAGTCTAGGGGGCTTCCTTCCGAGCTAGGTAGAGTTCCTGAGCCAGGTGCTCAATGACCAGCTCGAGAAAAAAAAAGCTATTCATGCGTGCAACATTCTCAGGGAGAAGGTTCCCACAACCTGAAAGCAACTCTGTGGCTGAAGAAATAAAGGGGCCAGCCAGGAGGCCCAAATCTCGGGAGCTGCTCAGATGGGATAGTCATAGAGATGGGGAGGGACCATAGTCTGATCATATAACTTGTGCAAAGGTCCATAGATGGGAGATGGAATGAAGACCTGGGGGAAGGGCAAGGATTATAATGAGCAAGGCCTGGCAAGCAGCTTCTCCCTTTGCTTGGTCTGCCCTTGAACCCATGGCTGCTGGGCAGAGGTGTCTGAAGCAGGCACACAACAAGGAAAGCTTCCATCACTGAGTGAGGGAAAGGTGGCAGAGCAATCTGTTCAGTGAAAGCTAAGATGGAAAGCACGAGGCATTGTGACTGCCACCAAGCCAATCAACCTGCCATCCCAATCACTTTCCAGATCACAACAGCCCCTCCAAGCTACCACTCCCCTATATATTTTTCAAAGTCCTTAAGGACAAGAGCTGTTTTCACTTTTATATTTGTGTTCTGGGCAGTTACCACTGTGCCTAGACACACAGCTAGTGGTTAATAGATGCTTTTTTTTTTATTGGGAACAGGAGAAGGAGAAAGGAACAAGCATTTATCAAGTGTCTACTATGTGGCAGGCATTTTTTATTGATCCCCTTCTTCAACACACTGATTCCAGCTTTATTTTTTTTTCTGGGTTCAAACTACTTGGCACCGGACTCGGAGTCTGGCAGACCTGGGTTCAAATCCTCCCTCTGCCTCTAACTAGCTGTGCGACCATGGGCAAATCATGTAATCTTTCTGAGTTTCAGTTCCTTAGTAAAAATGGAGGTGATACAACCAGTTCTATTTATGCCACAGAGTTGTAGTCAGAAAACATACATAAAGGCTTTGCCAACTTCAAAGCTCCGTGTGAGTGTTGGCTGTCATCATCATCATCCTCTTCATCTTCATCGTCCTACACTTCTTGTCCTTGCCAGCAGGAGCTGATAACTGAAAACAACAGCTTCTTCATAATGGTTGTCCCCCTTCAGCATGGTAAAAGACTTGGGGAGGAGACTGTTTTCCTCAGCCGTGATCAAAGCCACTTAGGACTCTTGAGCTGAACGATACCTTTTCATGTCATCCTTTTACCTAAGCATCTTAAAAGAATTTGTAGATATTAACTAATCAGTCCCCACTGCCTCTCCCTCAGGAGCTCATATTTAAATAGGCATTGCTGGCATAGCATACTTTCATTACCTTTATTAGAGGAAAGCATCCTGTATAGAACAGGCTCTGAATTCTAGCTTAGAGGTTACAAAGGCTGCCACAAATGAGGCATCTTTCTCTGTCTATTTATTCATCATTAAAATATACACATAGTTGCAGGACCCAGACATTGCACAGGGAAGAAAGGGAATTTCATGTGAATAAATAACAGTGAGGTGAAAAAACCAAGGGCTAGGAGGCCAGGGTTGTGAATCTCAGCTCCGCTATTTGTGAGGTGCATAACTAGACACATGTAATTTCTCTCTGGATCCAAATTTCCTCACTGATAAAATGAGTTTGGACTAGCTGCTTTCTAAGGTACCTTCCAGCACTAACACTGCATGGTTCTGTAAAGCTATATGGCTTATTTGGTGTCTTTCACACAAGCCACCTCATCTCCCATCTCCAGGCCTTTGCCTGGGCTGTCCCCCATGCTTGGAATATACTCTTATCTCTCTGCCTCTTCAAATCTCTAGATTCTTTCAAAGTTCAGCTTAAGCACTGCCTCTTACAAGAGGCCTTTCCTGATTTTTTCCCCTCCCAATTACCTTATATTTGGGTGTGTGTGTGTGTGTGTGTGTGTGTGTGTGTGTGTGTGTGTGTGTGTATGTGTGTGTGTGTGCATATGTATGGATATGTGTGTATGTGTAGTGTGGCCCCTCATGCATACACACACACATACACACGCACACACACACACAGAGTTATTTCCTCAGATAGAATTTAAGCTCTTCAAGGGTAAACAAGGACCAGTTTTGAAGGTGTTTTTATTTCTTCATTTGTTTTGCTCCTTGTAGACCCAGAACTTAGTGCCACGCCTGACATTTAGTAGGTATTTAACCAATACTTGATTGATTCCAGGTGGTGAAACAAATCAAGACACTGTGTCAGGCTCTGGTCTTTGAACTCTTCCTCAAGTTACCTTCCTTAACCAGCTTAGGTGGTATCTCACTGAACCTCAGTTTCCCCATATGTTGGAACTAACACTGGTACTACCTATTCCTCAGGGTTATTGTGAGGAGTAAGTGATAATGTATACTCTCACCTGCCATGGCTGTTCCCATGGCTCACAGCTGACTGGCCAGGGTCTGGGTACCACCACATCCCCAATGTGACCAGGACACAGTCCCT